GGCGGGGGCGGTGGGTGCGGGCGGGGGCCGGACCGGCGTCTATCGGCGGCATCGGCGGCGTCACGAGCGCCAGCGGCGCGCTGCCGCGGCCGCCGAGGCGCGCCGCTCGTCCATCAATGCAGGCGCCGGCAAAAAGGCGGCCGGCCGGCGGGCCGGCGGACGGGGTGTGTCGGTGGCGGCGGCAGCGCACCTGCGTCCACCGCCGCCGCTGATTGATGGCGAGCCTTTCGTCATGCGAGAGACCGAACGGAAGCACCGGGCGGTGCCGACCATCGCGGCCGCCTGACACCGACACGGCACGCCGAGCGCGGCCAGGTGCCGGTCCGGACTGACGGAGATGTTGCGTGCGGCCGCGTTAGGACAGCGGTTTAAGGACATAGCCGCTGGAACACGCGTCCGACGGCTCCGTCCCTGGCTCGCATTTCGCGGAGTTATGACCCTGGTGGCGACCCCGCGAAACGGCGGTCTAGACGACGTAAAACAGAAGTCTACACGAAAAGACGGCTAAGAAATCTTCAGACGGAATCCCAATCCTGAGGCCCCACTTCTCCATCTCGAGGCCCGCGGCGCCGTGCGACGCTCACCCATCCACCCTCTGGCGAGGCCCCACTTCTCCGCCGGCGGCGCCGTGCCACGCTCACCCACCCATCCTCTGGCGAGGCCCCAGCCCACCCCCTGGTCTTTACCGGCCAGCTGGCCAGCCGGCCCCTGCTCGTCTGTTGTGATGCGGCAGGTCAGGCGGCCGGCCGAGCAGCACCAGTCTATTGTGGCGCGGCAGGTCAGAAGACCGGCCGACCAGCACCAGTCAACCCAAATTTCCGCTGCTTAATTTCGGCAAGTAGCTGTTTGGGTGGTGAGTGCGCAGCGTGCCACGGCGGCCGCGGCCGGCGCCGCTCCCGGGGCGGCCATTCCACACCGAGCCGCCAAAGGAAGTCGCTACACTCGCCAGTATCATTCAGCTACAAGCCATCATAAAGTGGCGTACCGGTACCAGTAACAGTAAAAACATAAACTTGTCGCTAAAACTCATTCTAAAAATATATACCGTGGCGATTTTTCACACGCTCATCCAGCTTGATGGACGTGTAAGCACGAGGCCTGGGACCGAAGATTGACAGCTAGACCAATATGAGAGTGCTACAGAATGGACCAGCAAAACACGCTGACTGGTAACGAGCCACATATATCACCAAACACAGACACGCTCCTAGGACGACAAAACGAATCTGAGGGTCAAAATACCGAACAGCATCTGCATCTCCTAAAATTCACACGGTCAGCACTCCAGCGAGCAATGCAATGGAGGATACTGCCTTCAAACAGAACCGCAGCATACATGTGCGATGAACCAGGTAAACGGCAAAACTTCAAGTCACCATCTTGATAACTATGCAATATCCAGTGGCTAAGATCCAGTGGCTTTTTAAAAGTTCCCTCCTCCTAGCTTTTTGTGATGCGGCTGTGATGCGTGATGCAGCTGACCTACTTGACTCACTTGACTTACTTGAATTATCGTGATGCGCCTGATCTGCCGCATCACGGTAAACATTACAGAAAACACACGTTGGAAAAGCGAAGGAAATTAAATGTATTACTTTCATAGTGGTGAGCAGGGAATCAAATAAGATTTCTACAGCAAGGTCGGGTACTTTGAATCAAAATTATAAGCTAATCAGAAAGATTTCAAGAAAACTGGCATTACTGATCAAAGCGCACGTGTCTGACGTAACAATAAGTGAAAAGTACAAAAAGGTGGGATACTCTTTTCAGTGAGGGGGTGTCGCCTTGAAGGTCAGAATTGTAAAGTACCTGCACGTGGGTCAATGGACAAGGCATGTCCCATTCAAGTTGCAAAGCTAGTTTTTCCATTGAATCATAATCCACCCACATTTTTTCATTTTCAACAGATTTTTGAGTCATCCTTCCCTGATGTCCCTTGCTCGTCGGCATAAAAAGACATATGTGTGATGGTATTTCCATCACTTGTCTCCACTTCCGAGCGCATTACGTATTTCAGCAAATTGCGACCAAATAGGCACGAGATGACATAACGGGTAGAAGTGTCATGAGAACCCTTGAACTTCATTTGGAGAAAAGTGCGCTTTTTATTTCATAATCATCCATCCCGATCTCCATTGGCTTAGGTTTCATTTCGCGCATGGTGTAAACTCAAGCTTAGTCGGCGACGCCACAGCATGGCCTTCAATCATTGCATTGGATTTGCTAAGGCCTTTGAAAAACCTATTCAGCGATTACCCACAAGCCAGGTCGTTTATGCTGGAGGCCATACTTCAACTAGAATAGCCGTGTTTGCAGTTATGACGGGCTCTCATACCACTGATGTTTTATTAGCTGCATTCACTCACTATTGTGTGCGCCACAAACGCACGATTTGGTGGAATAACAGGGGCAAGCAGTCTCGCACAGTGAATGCAGACGGCTTTCGTGATGGTCTCTTAAGGTGGCACCCATGGAAAACCGTCTCGTTCACAACCACACAGCATCTTTTCCTTGAACTCCGTATGAAATGGATGAGCTCTGACCGAAAGACGTCTTAGACGGGCCCACCCATCAATAGTTTGATTACTCACGTTCTACCACACACAGGAAACTGCAGAAAAATAAATTGTCACGCGTAACTTGCATTGCGTTGTTGACTTAACTGCAAAACCAACCACAAAAGCCATCAGAACACGAGGCGAAGAGCTATTACCGCGATGATGACAAGGTCCCGCAAGCATCGTCTTCTTAGAAAAGCTTCTGAAGTGTTGACACCCGGTCCTATTTGGCCAACGTTCACCAGAACGACGCTTACCATGTGGACGGTGTCGTGCTGGGAGGTTAACAAAAACACATGACTTCACCGCATCGCGCTGGTTATCACTGCGCATGACAATGATACGCACATCAAGCTCACAACAAATTAAACAACGAAATACTTTGGTAGCTTAAGAGGCCTAAAACGCCGGCCGCATTGGCAAGCAGCACTACCCCACCTCAAGCACCGACGTCGACATCAGTACCATGACCGGTAGCCAATCAACGAGCAGATGTTTCGAAGACCCATCCAATCCAGCGCAGCGTGCTGCCGTTGGGCTCGGGCGCCGATGACGTCACTGCAATTTACGCCATCTGTACAGGCCTTGGTCTGCCGGAGATCTGTTGCATCGTGTTGATCCAAATAATGCACTTTAAATGAGTCCAAATAAGCTCCGACATGATCACAAAAGATCTGCTAAAAGAGCAACGACATTGGAAGGCCACAAATGTTTAGCTACAGGCTGGTAACACCTCGTCGAACAAACTTTGTTCGGTGCGAGCCAAACACTGATTGGAACAGCTCCCTTGAAACCCGCCATGTCAACAGGAAAACCCCGGGCATTTGACGATAACACGTGCAAAACCTGGATTTGCAGCACAAACCGGATGCGTCCCGTCTGGGTGCACCAGCAAACAGCTCTATTCAAACCTAACAGGCGGCACTCTACCGTTAAGCTTCCCGCCTCCACATCATCCTAAAATGGCCTGCCCGTCGCGCCCAAGCTCACGGCATTAACCTCCGATATAACAGCATTCAGCTGTCAGGAGTCAGTGACCGGCCAGCAGATGCCTTCCGTTCCCGGACACGCCGGGTGCGATATGTTTCAAACCTGACCCCGGAGCCTGGTTTTAGATCTCGCGTTCACCAGATGCACCCGGAATTCAGAGCATTCTTATTTTGATTCCGTGATTTACTGGCCATCAGGCCGCTCCCACTGTGGCCGTCCATCCAAAGACGTCACGGAGGTTTACTCGACCCGGGAGGTAGCAGTCGCCGGCTCATAGTCCAATATCAGAGCTTCATGCTGGCGGAGCACGAGGCCCGGCCGCCAGGGTCTGCCTGCTGTCTGTCCCCTTAGCCCCCCCCCCCTCCCCCGGCAGGGATGAGCACCAAACGGCGCCGTGTACCGCTGATAGCCAGCGCATCGGCAGAAACCAATCAGCATCGCGAAACAACGCCTGCAAGTGGGCTTGAGCCCTGGAGCTTCATTCAGTGTCGCGCCGCCTCTCCAGTTCACACCAGTGAACTGGAGAGGCGGGTTTTTCCCCTTCACCTCAGTTCACCCCAGCCGGTTTTACTCGCTATGGAGCTCATCAGCAGGCATTGACGTGTCACCTGATATATTTGAACAGATACGTCGCTGTACGGCTCAATTCCTCACAAACATACGGGTGGATCTCTTCCAATATTTGGTTAACCTGGCACAATCATTTCCGGACCAATCTCACATTTCCAGCTGTTGGTACAAGCCGTCGTGTCTTTTCCCCTCCCCCTCCCCTCACCTCACCTCACCTCACCTCACCTCACCTCACCTCTCTACTCCTCTCCTCTCCTCTCTCCTCTCCTCTCCTCTCTCCTCTCCTCTCCTCTCCTCTCCCTCTCCTCCCTCTCCTCCCCTCCCCTCTCTCCTCTCCTCTCCTCTCCTCTCCTCTCCTCTCTCTCCTCTCCTCTCCTCTCCCCTCCTCTCCTCTCCTCTCCTCTCCTCTCCTCTCCTCTCTCCTCTCCTCTCCTACTCCTCTCCTCTCCTCTCCTCCTCCTCTCCTCTCCTCTCCTCTCCTCTCCTCTCCTCTCCTTTCCTCTCCTCTCTCTCCTCTTCCACGCTTCCACGCTAAGTTGTTTTCTCTCTTCCGGGCCAACTTTCTCTTTGCTCCCCTGGTGGAACACGACGTTTGCATGTAAACAACGCCCCCCTGTGAGTGACAACGGTCACACTACCGCCTAGCCGCGGACAAACAGCCGCTGTACCCATCTCGATTCGTTCAGCCCAGCCCCAGCAGGTCAGCCGGCTCACTCACCTCCAATCACGGCCGGTCAGCCGGCACACTCACCCTCAATCGCGGCCGGTCAGCCGGCACACTCACTTCCAATCACGGACGGTCAGCCGGTACACCCTCCTCCAATCACGGCCGGTCAGCCGGCACACTCACCTCCAATCACGGCGGTCAGCCGGCACACTCACCTCCAATGACCGTTAGCGTGGCCTTGGCGCGCACCGGATTGCCGACGCCGTTCTCGGCCACGCACTCGTAGTCGCCCTCGTCGGCGATGGTGCGTACAGGCTCCACCCAGAAGCCGTTGCCCTGCGGAAACTCCACCAGCAAGTAGGGCAGCAGCGGCTCGCCGTTGTGCCACCACTTGATGAGCGGCGGAGGATCGCCGCGCGCCCGGCAGAAGAAGGCCGCCGCTTCGCTGTACGGCACCTTCTGGTCGCGCGGACGCTCGATGAACTCGGGCGGATCTGCCGAGAGGAGGGGCGGTCACTATGCGACGCGGCTGGCCACGGCCCTCATACGGCCGGCGGCGCGTCCGGGCCGCTGAGACTGGCACGCTCAACGACGACGAACGCGCAGCCTCACTCGACGGCCGATTGGGGCGAGGCCGTATATCCCGGGCGGCCGAGTCTTCCTCTCCGCGAAGGCAAGGAACCGCCCGAGGCGCGACCGCATCCCCAAGAATGCGCCTTGGAAGAAGGAAGCGGCCCCATTCCCAGCCGACTATGGAAGTCGTGGACGACTCGCAGCAGCCGTGCCGCCGTTCGCCAATGCCTCCGTTCAACAAGACGAACCGCTCGGCGTCTGTCCGTCCACATATTGCGACGCTGTACGGAACATCGCCACACAGCGGCCACGGGTGACGGGCTAATGCGGCGGCTCGATACCGACGGAGCCTGGTGACCCCACTGGCCCATCTGGCGCAGCCGTGTCCGCAAACAGAGTCCCCGGCAGCGGCCAAACGGAGGAGCGCCGAGGGCGCAGCCGTGTCCGCAAACAGAACCCCGGCAGCGACCAAACGGAGGAGCGCCGAGGGCGCAGCCGTGTCCGCAGACAGAACCCCCGGCAGCGACCAAACGGAGGAGCGCCGAGGGCGCGGCCGTGTCCGCAGACAGAACCCCCGGCAGCGACCAAACGGAGGAGCGCCGAGGGCGCAGCCGTGTCCGCAAACAGAGCCCCGGCAGCGGCCAAACGGAGGAGCGCCGAGGGCGCAGCCGTGTTCGCAAACAGAGCCCCCGGCAGCGGCCAAACGGAGGAGCGCCGAGGGCGCAGCCGTGTCCGCAAACAGAGCCCCGGCAGCGGCCAAACGGAGGAGCGCCGAGGGCGCAGCCGTGTCCGGAAACAGCCCCCGGCAACGATCAAACGGAGGAGCGCCGAGCGCGCAGCCGTGTCCGCAAACAGAACCCCCGGCAGCGACCAGAGCGCCGAGGTCCGCCCGTACAGGTGAAAACGACGCGACGTCGCGGCGCTGGCGATCCTCAGGTCGGTCGATCGCCCAACCTGACAAGGATAACGGCCGGCGACGCCCCGACAGCCACCACCGCCGCGGCGCCGACCCCGGCACCACTCACGTGTCAAATACCGGATGTGAAGTCCAGTAATGTTTGAGCCTGCAACCGGATGGCATCGCCAAATTCAGCGGCTGCGTCTAGCGGGCGCGGCGGAACGCGTGCCTGCTTCACCCGTCACCTGTGCTGTGCTTTGACAGGGGGTAGGGGCAGCGACTGCATCAGCGAGGTCCGAAGCTGGTCGCTAAGGAAGCCGATCATAGGCATTGGCCCGGTATGTTTTATTCTAGCTACTAACAGCCGACGTTGTTACAGAAATATTTTCACTTAGTTGGCAGCAGGAGGAAGAGGTCGCTGCAAAAAAGGCGCAAATACTTGCGCAACATCAACATTGTTCGACGCAAAGGAGCCATGATTATAAAGCTCAGCAAGGTATGATGATCCAACCCCATATCTTCAGAACCTCCAATATGCAAAGCACACTCCAATGTTACACTTTCGTCGACACGCTCACATGTTACCCCGCTGTATTCTAGTTTTACATTCGCAAATAGCTCCACTGCTACAATCTACGTTTACCATTCAAACAAGTAATCGACGTGTACACGTCACACCACCGTCGCGAGCCATTACCCGACGAGCGGGAAGTGTACACGTCGCACCACCGTCGCGAGCCATTACCCGACGAGCAGGGAGTGTACACGTCACACCACCGTCGCGAGCCATTACCCGACGAGTGGAAACAGCCCGGCTAAGTGGAGGCGTTGGCCACCTCAGCGACACTTATAAGCCGCCTGCTCCGGTCAGAGCGACGCGGCGCGGAAGCCACTCGCCGTGCACTCTATCGGGGCACAGCGCCTTTCGCGACTGGCAGGACATTCATCGCCTGAACAGCTTCGAACTGACGAGGCGCCGAGAGAGCATTACCAGACCTGGCGTCGAATCATACCACACCGCGCGTGTTTTTGCCGCCCGCCGTCCAACAAACAATCACGCTGCTTACTAATGGGCGAAGATGATGGCGCAAGTAATAAGACCAAACGGTGAGAGAGGCCCGCCAAAGACAGCTCTATCAGGGCATTGTTGACGACATCGCGGACAGAGCGGCTCGGATGGATGAAAAATTCAGACGCCGCCACGAGCCGACTGTATTTGCGTTCAGCACACACCCAAGCCAGACACGCACAGCTCGCCTGGCTCCTCTCAATAACAAAGTTTAAGCCGGTCGGTGGCATGCGCAGGCGTTGGCAAGAGATCGGCATCACCGGCATTCGAGTAGACATGACCCAGCGTTCATTCCAGTGTCATTGCCACGTTGTCTCGAAGCTGGAGGTGCTGCTGACATTCGCCTCTGTATCAGTGGTCGCCAGCGCACCAGCTGTCAGCGCTCGGCTGACGCCCGCGCAGATGTCGCGCTGCTCGCCCTCATAGAAAGCAGAGATACCGGTTACGTGTCTGGAGCACGGTGGCCACTGCGCAGCTGTTTTGTGCTTCGACATTACCGTATGCATAGACGACATCGTATTCTCCCATGGTCTTCCACAAATGGATATCTTCGATAGCAGCACTGGCAGCGTCAACTAATCCAAATTAGTCCAATAATCTTAACTTGCCAAAGCTTACTTGGGCTTGGCAACTTCATAGAACATATAAGTGAATACGGCCATTTAGCAGTAACTGACCCGGGCATACAAATGTATTGTGCCATCAAGATGCCAGCCTCCCGCTCCAATTCTGCATGCACCCTGAGAACGGCAGTGAGCCTTCAGCCACGCCCCCTGGCTATGCGGTCACCTATCCCCGTATGTGCTGTGTGCTGCACGCATACGCGACATGGCTGGATCTGGACCATGTTACAGACTAGTACCGCCGAGAGCACAATATATCCGTGTACCGTGTGCAAAACTCCGCACGTCTCGCCACAGGACGCTACAAACCCTGTGTTCAGTGACGTCGGCAAAGAACAATGGGTCAGGCGTCGAAACAATGTGTTAAAAATATCACTACTTTTGCTTCATGTAAAAACAGAGAACGTACGTCTCCGCGTACGGTAACGGAGACTCATAGCACGCCTCTGAATGTATAGTTCACAGTCCACCGCAACTTCCGCTTCACCCGCTGGGTGGAAGGAGCACCGCGTCCCAGCACGACACGCTCACGCCGATTCGGATCCACGGCATGCATTTATTTACGCTGACATTGGTTCAGTCTTTACTTTTACCACAAGACTACGTTAAGGTTTCACAGCTCCAGGATATCGATGATGTCCAGGACAGCTTCAGTTCTCTCTCGAGCCCATACCGACTGCCGTCCCAACTTATGTGTACCTGACCTCCATATTGTCGGGCAAGAAGATGCCTCTGAAAGCAAGCTTGGCCGAAGACGCGTCGCACGGAGGTATGCGGCCAGCGGCGCAGACATGGCAGCACAGCGTGCCACACGGGGCAGCGCGTGGCGGCCGACCTATCGGCGACCAACCGCCAGCGATGCGGGTCAGCCCGCCACCCAGGCAGCGTGCGGTGGCTGTACCCACCGGCGACAAACCAACGGCGAGCATTGCGGGTTAGCAAACCACTGCAGACTCGCATCACGCGTGCCATCTAGGAGTGGAAATCTAAACATCTCGAGGCCATATCACACAGTCGGTGGGCAGCTAAGAAAGCTCGACAATGGTCAACGAAACTCGAGGAATAACGAAAACCAAACCCATGTCTAACCCAATCGGAACCAGGCTGCAGAAAACTCGAACAAGGTGACATCTGAGAATCCAAGCTAGGAGAACACTTCAACGCGCACTGGGACAACGCGACACCAGCTATTTTCAACGTCGCTGACGCTTCCTCAGATGCACGTCGACACGGTCGGCGCCAGTGACTCTCCGCACTGCGGGTCGTCTGTTTCAACAAAAAGACACGTCACGACGCTTCGTACAATTGGGTGCGATTTGCAAGCGTGCCGGTGCGGCCCGCCGACAGCCTCCCCCCCCCCCCCCCCCCGGCGTAGGGTGGACACGTTCGGCGAACAGCCCGCCCCGTTCCTCATATTCAATCAATAGAGCCGCGGCCGTCTGTTTCAGATGATGGTCACAAAGCCGCGTTAACACAGCGTCGGGAGCGACACAACTACTAACACACCGGGGAAGACCGCCGGCTCACCAAAAACGCGCTTACCGGCGCGGGCGTCGATAATCGGCCAACCCGAACCACGGGTGGGCCAGGTGTCGCCGAGCGGTGCGGGGCCTGATGTCGCCCAGGACGGGGGCGTTATCACAGAGCCCACGCGCGTCACGACCACCGCATTTGACGTCACAGGCTCGGCCAAAGTGGCCGCTGAGGCGAGCATCTCGTGCATCTTGGCCTGACCCTGTGCAATAGGGCCAGGATTGATGGACTCCTGGGACCAAGACCGACTTTGCCAGTGGCATTGACAGGCCCGGCACCAAGCGTTTTGCAAGCGCTGTGTCTTCATCCAGCGGACCAGAAACCGCATACAAATGTGATCAAAGCAGCTGGACATACCCCACATCCCAGCTGGCTCCCCCAGTGTGTGTCCTGTTTGTTTTCTTCAGTGACGCTCACCCCCTCGTGCGTCCAGTGTTTCCCGTCTCCGGTGTCTCCAGAGATCTCCAGTGTGTCTAGTAGCACCCGTTCCTGATGTCTCCAGTGACGGCCGTTCCCGGTGTACCAACTGACGCTCGTCCCCCATGTCTCCAGTGACGGCCGTCTCCGGTGTGCCTACTGGCGCGTCTCTCCTCTCTCTCTCTCTCTCTCTCTCTCTCTCTCTCTCTCTCTCTCTCTCTCTCTCTCTCTCTCTCTCTCTCTCTCTCTCTCTCTCTCTCTCTCTCTCTCTCTCTCTCTCTCTCTCTCTCTCTCTCTCTCTCTCTCTCTCTCTCTCTCTCTCTTTCTCCGACATCTCTGTATCTTCCCGCACTGGCGTCAAACAGAATAATGTGAGCCTTTCCCTTGGGTGCATTTGTTGTCTTTTATTCGCGCATGCCTGTCCTAACGATTTACCCCACCCACAAGCGCCAAATATCCGTACATGACCCAAACTCCACCGCACGAACACCTTCAACTGACAACCTTTCCCTGTTCTGTCTGCCTCCTTGCCGGCAACTGCCCACTGGCTTGTCCATCAGCATAGCGGACGTGCGCTGCCGTTGCAGGAGTTCCGTCGCCCGGCCCGACCCCAGCGGGCCATTTCCGAGCGCACCGCCTCGCTACAGCCGGCCGGCCGTTCCCAAATGCACTGGCCGTGTTCGGGCGGTATCCCGCTAAAACGCGGCCCATCAATCCAATAGTGCGAGTGCGGCGGACACGCGCCGACACGTGCGCCGGTCAACACGTTCAATTCGCCATATGTGTCCGTTTTGACGGCCGGTCGGCCGGTCGGCCGGCGGCCCGTTTGCAATGACCAATAAACGGCCGACTAAACACGCGGGCCGCCAGTGGGGCAGGCGCGCCGCGCGCCGGCACAGCCCGGCGGCGGGCCCCAGTCACACGAGGCGTGCGTGCGCCGGCCGGCAGCCGCAGGGGCACACACTGTCGCATCCAGCCGCCCCTCCTGCTGAGATCTTCGCCGGCAGGACGAACAGCCGGAGACGGGCGGGCAGCGGACGCCGCATTCGCGGTTGCGCTGGCGCGGTCGGCGGCGTCTCCCGCCGCCCGCCCGGCTGCCAGACGGCTTCCCCGGACGCCGAGCGGGGAAGCATTCGTGCCTTCTTGCAGGCCCTCCCTTCGTAGACCAGATTTTTTGTAATACGTCAATGCAACTACGTGTACACGAGATCATGTGCCCAATTTCGCACAACCAACCAACCATTTCACGACATAACAGCAGTAAGAACGGGCTGGGGTCTAATAAAGGTGGGCTGCTATTCGCCACTAGCAAAGATTGTGCGACTGGCGACCAAAATAGCCGGCGGCGCAGCGTGGTTCCTCGGTAATGGCCGGACTTCTGTATGGTAATGGCCGGCAACTTCTGGGCCAGTCCATCTGCAGTGCCGGCTGACCGCACAGAGCTGGCATCGGACGCGCCGCGGCCGGCGGCCGGTGGGAGTCCTGCCGCCGGCGGCTCCCTGTCGGGCCAGAGTGCCGCAAGCGGTTCCGACGCGGGCAATAATCGGGCGGCGCCGCTCGGCCGGCCCGGCACGCAAACACAGACGGACGGACGGCCGCCGCTCGGGCGGCAGGAACCCCGTGTCACCAGCAGCCGCCAGCCGGATCGGTGCTGGTCACCGGCGCCGCATGGTTGGTCATCGGCATTACCGGTAATTACTGGTCACGTACTGGCTTCACATTGCTCTCCCACTCAAAGACCGCAAAGGTCGTCATTCTTAAGTCGCCCAATGGACGCCAACTGATTCCAATCGCTGGCTCTTAGCTGAGCGACGAACGTCAGCAGTCGGCGGTCACTGACAGTTCATCGGCTGGTCAGTGACTGGGCGCCGAGTTCATCCTCGATCGCTAACGACGCTTTCCGTGTACAAGATTCTACCACACTTCTGGGCAGCTGAGAGGCTGAGACCTGGCGACCCCTCTCTTCGCAACACACCGCCCTATGGTACTGCTGAGCTGCTGAACCCCGCATCACCTCGCTGGTCGCTCAGCACCTTCTGAGCGACCGGACCAAAAACGGTCTACGTCTGTCCATAGAGCACCTTGATGGCTGAGTCAGATCCTGAGCAGCCATCAGCGCGCAGCGCACGGCCCGGCTTCCAAATCTTCGGCATCAATCTTGTTCATCGCAAATACGCATGATAGCTATGTTTGTTACAGAAATGATAACATGTTCACCTGCATGGCTAAGGTTCTTGGTTCCTCACTTATGTCGTCAATCAAAAGCTAGCGCCGTGGTCTGCTCGACTTTCATGTGTTGCCTGTTCATGTAATAGCGCCTGTTCAGACACAGCAAGGGAGGGGAGACAGCGAAATATCATCCCGGTACGTGCACAACGGCCGGCATCATAGCACAAGAAGCAGAAAACGGCGCGATCCAATCGTACGGTTCCACTGAACTCTACTGAACTCTACCTCTACAGATCATAACGGAAGCTATTGATTAAACATGCCAACGTCCTTCAGGACAGGGGGCTTCCCCAAGCACATCTAACTTGCTGTCAACCATTTGCGTGACTCACCAGCGCCTGGCTTTGGGGTCCAACCTTTTCATTACAGTGCAATGCAGATCAACCCGGCGCCGGCTGAACGTGTTCTGTTACACACCAGTACAGACTCGTCCTGCCGGAAACAGTTGCGTCAAAGACAAACGCCTTGAATTATCAAACAAACTCTGCAGAGCAAATCCCCCAGCCAATGTCGTGGACAGATATTTCTGGTGGTCTCAACTTGACAAGCAGTAGGTCCCCGATCACCGCCGGCCAGCAGTATGGAGCCGAGTGGTACGTGCCCAGCGGCTGGGCCGGACTGCCGAGACGGCGCCTTCGGCGCTATCTGCCGCGTCATCCGTCACCCTGCCGGGCCGGTCCTGCCGGCGGAAAGTGCGACCACTGTCCGACCTCGTCCCTGCGGCAGCGTCTGCAGACGGCACCCTCCAGTGGACCCTCCCCTCTTCCCGGTGGCGCGAGCAGAGATGATTATCTCCCTCTACGCCGTCCTCCCTTCCCCTCCCTCCCACCTGGCATCCCCACCGGCACCAGCGGCTGAAATAATCTGTGCTGGCAGCCCCGGCAGAGACCATCTCTCCCTCGCCTCGAGCCCTCAGCAGCGCCGGCACATGACCCCTGTCCGCCCCGGCCCGATCACCTCCAGCGGCACTAGCAAGTGATTCCCCCTGACCCCATCTCCACACTAGCAGCACCGTCAATGATCCCCAAACACATTCCTTATCCCCTAACCCTACGCCCACACCAGCAGCGCTGCCAGGTTATCCCCTCCCCTCACCCCATTCCCAAGCAGTGCCGCCAATGATCCCCTCCCCTGACCCCATCCCCCACCTGCGGCGCCAGCCTACGGCAGACGACTCCGAACAAAGTCGGGTCATATTGCCGGCGATAGGCAATCTCGCGACAAATGATGGCTCCCGGACGTGTTTTAAACTACCAAATAGACAAGTCGTTCATCAGGAGGACGGCGGTCGTGCGCATGCGGGGCCTGTAGCCCCGCTGGCAGGCCCGCCAGGCTCCGCCAGCGCTGGGGCCGTCCGCCGCCGCGCCGCCCACAGAGACCAACTGACGCCCGCTGGGTGCAGATACGGTCTCTGGCAAGCGGAATGGCAAGAGTTGTCTAAAGACGCACTTCCCCGAAAGATGAGCCGAAGCCGTCTCGAGAGGCGCTCTCTTGGACGTGGAATGAACCGTGATGTCTGGAGGCCTGCTCTTCAAGAGATGGATGGATACGTGACGGCTATAGACACGCTCTTTAGGAGGTGGTCTGACACGTGATGTTTGGAGGCACTCTCTTCACGAGAGACTGACACGTGATGTCTGGAGGCACCCTCCTCAGGAGAGACTGACACGTGATGTCTGGAGACACCCTCCTCAGGAG